TTGTAATACTCCCTGCCATGGACATGATTGTCTTGGTCCTTATTTTAAGGGACAGCTTTCAGTTTTCCCCCATTTAATATGATGTTGGTGATAGATCTGTCATAAATGGCTTTTATCAGAAAAAGATAAAGTCCTTCTATACCATTTTTTGTCAGATTTTTATCATGAATGGATGTTGGATTTTGTCAGAGGCTTTTTGTGCATCTATGGCGATGATCATGTGATTTTTGTCCTTTCTTTTTGTTCATGTGTCATATTACATTTATTGATTTAAATATGTTGAACCATCCTTGCATCCCTGGAATGAATCCTACTTGGTCATGATGGGTGATCTTTTTGATGATTTGTTGCATTCTGCTTATCATTATCTCATTGAAGATTTTTGTATTTATGTTCATTATAGTTTTCTTTTTTAGTTGAGTCCTTGTTTCATTTTGGAATTAGGATAGTTTTAACTTCCAGGCATGAGTTTGGAAGTACTCTTGCCATTTCAGTTTCATTAAAGAGTTTGAGAAGTATTTGAATTAGTTCTTTCTGGAAGTTTTTATAGCATTCAGTGGTGAAGACATCAGGTTCTGAGTTTATCTTAGTTGGTAGGTTGTCTTTTTTTTTCTACTGCCTCAATTTCATTGGTTTTATTATTGGCTCATTCAGGGCTTTTATAACTTCTTGGTTCATTTTTGGTAATTTATATGTGTCTATGAGTCTGTCCATTTCTTCTAGATTCTCTGATTTATTGTCGTACAATTTTTATAGTAGTTACTAATGATTTTCTGGATTCAGGAGCATCTGATGTGATTTTACCTTTTTCACTTCTAATTCCCGGTGATGTGAGACTTTCATTTCCTTCTTTTGGTAACTTTGGCAGAATTTGCCTATTTTATCTATTGTTTGAAAGAACCAGCTCTTTATTTCAAGGATCCTTTACACTTTTAGTCTCAATTTCATTAATTTCTGCTCTGATCTTTATGATTTCTTTTCTTACACTAGGATTGGTTTTCGACTAATATTTTTTTCTAGGCATCGCCGCTTAACAGTGCACCAAGGCTTTAAGCTCAAAACCCAGAGCATCAAAAATACAGATCATGCCGCTGCCATGACCTGAAGTGGATCCAGAATGCTCAGGACACTTTGGACACCTTAGAGAGAGGCTGCTGCCTGTGGACAGGGCCACTTGGGACCTTGAGGAGTTTAGTAAACAAAGGGCAAAATGGTCAGGTTGGGCAACTAACAAGGAAAATATTTTGCCCATCTAAAGATAAAAGCTATTCTAACTAATTTTGTTCAAAAAGACAATGTAGGGCTGGGGATTTAGCTCAGTGGTTTCGCCGTCTGGCCCCCAAAGCACAAGGACCCAAGTTCAATCCCCGGTACCAAAAAAAAAAAAA